TTAGTTGACTCTAACAAGTCACGTCAGAGCTTTGGTCTTGGACGCTGCAAATCCAAATGCAAATATTTTTAGCCTCCCACTATAATTTCCATACTAATTTCAAGAATTTGTTTGGTGAAAGCAATTTAGCCACCAAAGAGCAATTTAACATGGAGATTGCGATACCACTTGCCAGAATCCTCTGGAGTAATAGCATCATGATTAGAGAACACATTAATACATAAAAGGACAAGTGGGAGTGACTGGAGACGAATTCCGAGAACAGCAGGCGTTTGCATAAGAAGAATCATCCATTATTATTAAGTTATGGGCAGTTTTGGCTTAAATATTAAAAGAGTTTGGTACTGTGTATCCCTCAACAGTTAGGTACAGGTATGGAGCTTCAGGAAAGTATTACATTATGGTATTGTTGTTTGTCTTGCTGTGTGCCCCAAGAAACTAAACCTGGCTTAGCCCTCACTCCCTCTCACACATTTGTCGGTGACACTAAACCATCACTTCCATACGGATTATTATGATATTTGGTCTTCGAATCTTTTTAAGTAGTTGGCATGAATCAATATATTGTAAACAATCCGAATTGACTGAAACACCCTTTTAAAAGAGAGTTGCGACCCCATTAAAGAAAGGGTATTGTGGACTACATACGTCCAATCAACTTTGTCATGATGCAGAAGATTTCGTCAAAACCAGTGTGCTTTGGCCCTTTTTGTTTTCCCTTCTCTGGTCATTGTTCATGATCTCAACATGTTTGTCTCGGATGTACAGGAGAATGGACGTCTCGTCTGTTTTTTTAACATGTTTTAGGGCTTCTCTTTCTTGTGGGAGAAATTTTTTTCCTTGATTATGTTGATGTCAACCGGGGAAGATGCTTGCCTCATGTGCATTAGAAAATAACCATGTGGGACTTATTTGGTAAATTGATTTTACGAAGCTCTTTATCCCAAAAGCAAGAAAGCAACACCTTTAATTAGGAGTAGACCATGATGTGAATAGTTTGAGGCACAGAAGAAAGAGGGTCTCACCTTGAGCTCAGAAAAATTGTTTCTACCTTTTAACAATCGATTAAGCACATGACAAAATAAAGGAGCTTTCGTTTCAAGGCAAGTCGACAATAAAGTAAATAGCCCATTTTTTCAACAAAAACATTTTTTGAAATTACGAAATTGCCTTTTTACAACCAAAACATACAAAAATTGTCAAGTCAAAATTAAAATTAATCAAACCATACGCGTGTGTTTAGTATTTGTCATGTTATATAAATGATAGATATAAAAATATTTGAATCGAAATATATGCAATCATAATTCATCTTCTGTTACTTGGTCGGCGTAAAGCATTGTTTATTTTTCAATTAAAAATAGAGGATGGATTTTTTAAAAATGTGATAGAGAGCTGTGTACAAGTTAAGCATAGAAAAAGTACCAGAATGATGAAAGATAATAATAACCATGCGAGAAGTAAGTAAATTATTGTGGGATTAGGGTTATTATATTAGAAGCATGTTAATTGACCCACACTTAAAGGGCATCGAAATGGGCAGATTCAATCGATAAAGAAATTGGACGAGCCTTCGGCTCAGCTGCTCGTGGGGCATTGTCTCATTCCTAGTACCACGAGGTTGTGCGTTTGAACTACCCGATTGAATAGGAGGTGTGCGCCCATTACGGGAAAAAAAAATGCGTGCTTTTTAACGTAGTGCTCTTTTATTCTAATAAGACTAATTTTATAGTATAATTTACGGTATAAACTAAGCCTCGCACCATAGGAGTAATTTTTAACAGCTCACCCACCCCAAAAGAGGAAGAAACCAAGGGCCTATGGTCCCGACAGTGAAGTTATTGGAAAAAACACGGTATCAGCTTTATTACTGTCTGTGATGGACTTTTCTCCACAATACTAAATCACGGTTCGCTAGATAACAAAAATTCAAGTATTCAATATCCCACAGCAAAAGCCCATCAAAATCTCACGTCATTAATTAATCCTGCGGGTAGCATACTTGAGAAGAATGATTAGCTATCATAAGCCTGCGTTTCATGCAATTGTGAAAACTAAATTTGACTGCTGCATGCCCAAATCCGTTATGGTTTGAATTTCCAAGAACATTTTGCATATCTGCGATGACTATTCACATTGGAGGACAGGTGATGACAACAGAAGACACTGGCAATCGCAAGCTGTCCAAATAGAATTGCATTTAATAACATTCACATGAAAGTAACAGAATTCTCAGCAAAAGACTCCATGCCCCCAAGGTTGGAAAACAGCGAATCCATCACTAGCAGAAGCACAGTACTTCATGTCGGGTACTGTGAGAAATATCTACAGGTTTACATGGCGAATATACAACCATATATAGTTTCCTAATTTCTAAACCAGTTTCTATCTTTTCTAGGTTCTTTATTCCAAATATGGCAAGCACTGACACCTTCAGCGAGGAAAATGGATTATCACTTGCCTGGCTTGCACCAGCCAAAAGGCAACACACCACATTCACAGAATTTCATATCCAGCAAAGGACAATCTATTTCTACCTGATACCATAAAAAATAATGAGGATTAGTAACCAGATCATACAATGTGTTTCCATGCTAAACAAGACACATAGGAACCTTTGCATAAAAAGAACGAAAGAAGCTTCAAATCACACAAGTATTTCACCTTTCAGCCACAGCAAAGCTTAGAATTGAAGCAAATTATGCTCAATGCTTAATTTGAACTAGAACCTGCCGCAAAGGATGCTTTTGTGTTATTATCTGTCGACAGGCTTTCGCCTTCAGCATTTGAAATATGTCGGTCATTTGGTTCAGCAACCGAACCACCTTCTAAATGACTTTGGGCAGGATTGCTATCATTTCTATTGCTGTCTCTGGTATCAAGTCGTTCCATCAGGCGTGACACAGTTGCAATCCCTGCATTAGCCTCTTGTCTACCTTCAGATCCCGCATCAGGCATAGAGCTGTTGCGAGAGAACCATCTCTCCTTCCATCCTCTGGTGCTCCTGGATATCGACTCTTTGTATCTGCAAATAAAGGGTGATAAGTAATATCCAAACCTAAGAAACCAAGGGACAACTCTTCATTTCCATTACACATGCATGCAACATAGACTAATCACTTCTATACTACCTCGTTGAAACTGCATTTAGTCTAGACTTCAAAGATTCCGAAAATGATTGGAATTCTGATGGCCCTGCTCTGTCCTGACTGCTAGGAGAAGACTGGCTAGGTGATCTCCTATAAATAGTTTTGGGATAAAACAGTCAAGATTATTATAGCTGCATTATTGTCTGATAAATAACAAATATAAAATCTAAAACAAACCATACTATTCACAACATAAAAATAGTGTGGTTCATTCAGATTCTGTGCAATAAACTAGGCTTACTTCTGGTTTTGAACTCATCAACATGAAAATTATCCAGAAACAAATGAAGAATGATAATTACCTACTGTTGTAAGAAGATCCCTGGTTATCAGCAGCAAGAACAGTAGATCCTGATCCTGAAGCAGAGATATGGTCTGCTTGAACAAGAGGAACAGAAGTTGACCGTGAAGACTCTTCCCCAGTGGCAGGAGTTGGAGATAAAGTAGCAACAGTGATCGCTGAAGCTGGTTCACCATCTGCCCCATGGGTTGGAGAGGCAGGAGCCATGGGAGGTGAATTGGGATGGGCTGAAAATACCAAAAAATGTGGCCGACCTTGAGCTGATGACCTGTTTCTCTGACCTTCCCTTCTAGCAATATGACGAGCCCGTCCCATTGCAGCAGCAGCAGCTAAGTGCTGTATGATACGCTCTTCAAGATCAGCATCATTTGCACCAACGGGCAGCTGCATGAGAAATAAATCTTAAATAACCCATAATAAAAAAACCTAAAGTGATGGTTTCAAACTAGCATAAGCAGACTACAAACATGTTGCAACTCGAAATCACCCAGAGCTGGATGATGAAATATTGTGGCATTTCTAGGCGGATTCAACCTAATGTTCCTCTCTCTTTCCACCGCTTCAAGTAATTCCTGACTGCGAACACAGAAGAAAAGGCACATTAACAATGAAAAGAAATAATGGCAAGAATATCAAAACAGAGCGAAGAATACAATGGGCATAAAGAAAACCTTGTAGGATCTTTGAGACTGATAGGTTGCCAGCACATGGGGCACTGAGAGCTTCGTTGACACCTAGAAGATAAGCATAAACGTAAGTTCAGATCATATCTCCTCAATATAGCCAAATATTTCAGAACACAATCGTTCCTACAATGAGACTCTTCCTCGAAGATGTTTAATTAACAGTAATTATTATTAGTTATATTGGCCTGAATAGTACTTATAAAACAAAAGGAACTCATAGACATAAGTGCTGTAGTCAATAGCTGTACTCCGACACATCCTGCCCCTCGCTTGTAAAAGGATTATCAGGGTTAAAATAGTAGCCAGGTGAGGGGTAAAGACACCAAAACAAAGGAGAACATCTTCCTGATGGCAGCTTTAACTAATCTTCTGCAGCAAGTTTTAATGCCTGTTAGTCCAAGTTATAATCTCTTCCTAGCCTCCAGGGGATTAAGAAGAAAGCATCTGTCCTGAATGATGGCAGCAAAATCCCACTCTTCACAGTACTCATGCGATTGAAAGAAGAAATCGGATCTAAATTATCAGATTCAAAAGCCACTGGATCAAAACTCACGGATTTAACCAATTCTGATTCCTTTTAAAGTGTGGCAGCTTCAGCCAAAAAAGAACAAAATCCATACAAGCTACACAAGTACAGCTATCCAGAACCACACAACCAGTCACCAACAGAGATACCTACACCAGCCTCACTCGTGCAGTTAGAAAAGGCACTATCCAGGTTGAATTTGAAAGTGCCAAGGGGAGTTGTCCAACTATGTCTATTGGATTTGAAGATATTTTTCAATTTAGAAATGCAATGTACAAGATCCTATTATCCCTCATATACTTTGGAAACAGTAACTGAGTATTGAGAAAATGTACATATATTGAACCATAAACAAAGGGGATGTGAACTTAATTTATTGAAGATCTAGGTCGTGGTCAGTTATGACTAAAATAGTTTTTTTTTTCCCCAGCATGGTACCTCAGTCAAACTACAAGAACTTTGAGTTACAAGCTCAGGGCATTAATAGGGGCCACTAATGCCTTACGGAAACACATTATAGCCCTGTAATTTGTTAGCGCTAGTTCTTTAAGAAGTGCATGTTTTGACTAGCGATGACCAGTTTTTATGTTTTAACTATTTGTGTCCTAATGTTCTAGAAAATAAGCCTCATTCACTTTTCAGTAGATACTCATAGAAACCCATTTCCCTCAGTCCAGTCAGTAACTTGATCAAACAAAACTTTATCAGGTAGCCTTTACCGTATAACGAAGTGCAGAAGAAAGTAAAACTCCATACAAAATTGTAACTTAAGGAGATCAAATTGGTCTCCAAGTTATATTGCAGCAGCTATGAAGGCTACACTCAACTGCAATAACCGCGAATGAATCTTCCGCCAAAATTAATACTGTCCAATACTGCACTACAACTAATAATTAATAATCGCTAAAACTGGCTCAAAGCCGAACAAAGATAAAGCCACATAGCGCTACCATTCTAGAATGCACTGAAGATGAAACTCATGTTTGCAACTTGTCACCTGCAGGAAGAGGGAGAGCAGCTTGTTCAAAAGGTTGGAATATACTAACGGCCAAGAAAACTAAAGCATAAAACTCTAAATAAGCATACTGTTGAAGGATCGCTGTCATGAAATGCTTCGAGACATATACTACAAGCATCATCACAAGCATCCTGGATTCCACCCTCCACGAAGGCTGCAGCAGAAGTCAAATGCGCTTCAGACTTCTTATTCTCTTCCAATCCCGGACCCTGAAATATATCAGCTTTGAGAGATATATAGAGGCAAGTTTGATATCCAAGCAAGTTGCAATAAATCAAGACATGCCGTCGAATGGATTGATTAAATAAGAATTATGAAAGAAGCAGCAGACTAGTCTATAACATATAGAATTCAAACCAAACGAAAATAACACAAAATCAAATTATCACTTCAACGGGACCCGATTGAGTCAGGAACGAACAAGTCAATCTTCCAACTACTGAAAGTAACAAAATCAACTACATTATAAAGCCTAAAATGAACACAGTGAAGCACAAATAATTGTTTTCACTAACATGAAGAATTATATATTCACAAATAGAGAGCATCTACGATCAGTGAAATAGCATAGTAAAAAACCGTGAAAAGGATAGAAAAGTAAGAGAAATTGATCAGCGTAACATATATCCTCAGCAAGGTCAATCAGTAGAATATGATGGTCGGATGACAACCAGTAACCCAGCATACAAAGGGCTAATAGTGGTGGCAGCCATCACAGGTGCCCAAAAATCCTTCCGTTTGGTGAAGGTTTTTCCCAGCAACCAAACAAACAAACCATGGCAAACGGATTGGGGGGGGGGGGTCTCGAAATTTTTACCTCCATGAAGAATTGCGCAAGACTTAATCTAGTCAGAAAACAAAACGATCGGGCGAAAGCCGGGAGAGAATCGAGCTCGGAATAGAAGAAACCCTAGCGAGTCTGAACTGATTGGAGCGAGATGGCTATCCTTTGTCTCTGGCGTTCTGCCCCTTTTTTTTTTTTGGCCTTAAAGACTTGGGAGTTTTACTTTTTTGGCACTTGAACCCCCTCGTCCACGGAGCAGCCGAACCTTAGCTAGGTCGTCTACCCACTACTGTACTGACACGTGACATTATCTGGTGACATCCTTTGACGAGTCACTCCTCGGAATCACATTCCACGCTCTGAGCATGAAGTGCGATCCTCATCGTCATCATTCTCAACTATTTACTATATTTAAATTGATTTTGAATCATTTAGATTTAATCTAATTTAATTTTTATATTTTAAATAGTTTCTATGGTAATAAATACCGGTTCAGGTAAGACAAAAAGGATATCTTTTTTAATGGAAAAAATACAGGATTTTTCCCTGTAGAAATTAATATAAAAATAATTTTTAAAAATAAACCATCTATAATCTAAGCTGAATCTGCTTCTTGTTGTGATCAACATTTAACAAAGATCTTTCATATTATGCGTTACTTCAAACTCTTTTCATGTGTTTTTTTATTAATTTATTATCGTCTATGATAATATAAGGAGTAGATGATCACCAACACATGGGCAAAAAAAATTCCTTGATACTTCTCCGATCCTTAATATAAGACCAATTTAACTAATTTGATTAAATTAAAAAAGTTAGGTAAGTTAGTTAATTATAAGAAAAGTGACACATTTTTCCTAAAATACCATAATCATCTTTTTTAATACATCATCTCTCTTTTCTACTTGATTATAGTTGAGGGAGTATCTATAGGGGTAATTTAGAAAAAACTGATAAATATGATAAATAAATATTATATTTATGACCAAAACCAACTCAATAATTGGGTTCTATATTAAAAACCGGAAGGGTACAAAATATAAATTTACAGGCAATCACATTATTTATAAATGGAAAATATATCTAATCGTCAATGTTGCCATAATTAGACCAAATGAGCTAATTCGACCAATTGAACAAGCTTGCGATTTAATTGAAACCCGTGCCAAAACCAGTAAATAAAGTAAATTGTTGGGATAGTAGTCAGCGGAGGTTGAACTGGACAAGCCTGATAAAGCAAACTGGGTTGGCTGGTTCAATAAATGGCGATCATATATGACCTTCATCTTTGCCACGAAAATATGGATCCAGAGATATAAAAACATGAATAAGGTTGAAAGAGAAGAAGAACCAGGAAATAAAAATAGGGCGCAGGAGGAAGAGGGAATAAAATGAAGAAGAAGGCTAGCACTCTTAAATTTACAGGCTCATGTTTCATCAGCCACACAGCCCCCCAGTGTTGAACATCAAAGTCGGCAGCATTTTAATTTGTTTAATTTATGATCTGCGATCATGCTCATGCCATGAAAATGTTGACAACTGTTTCAAACGCGTGGACATCAATTGGGTACATTTTAAATTTAAATTGCTGTGCGTGAAGAAGATTCGACCAGATCAAGGATTAACTTGTTAAATTCATGAACCAACCAACCAACCAACCACTGGAAAAATAAATGGATGTCTGAAACACGTGAGAGGGAACCATTGTGGTGGTGATGGCCAAAACCAGTGCAGAAATGAAAGGTGATCATCTAATATAAGACCAATTACATACACATTTACTGAGGGCGCCACGATGCAGAGTCATTATAGAGATTGGAGACTTTAAAACAGCTTTTGGATGTAATTTACCAAACACTCTTTTGATTTTATTTATAAGAAAAATTATAATGAGATCCCAAACAAAAAAAACAATTAAAAAAATAAGTTTTAGAAGTTGTCATTCTTATTATAGGAGTTGTCATTATATATTGTTGAGGTTGTTATTAGAACCTTTTGGTAATTATTTCTCTTATGTGACACTTGATTATAATTCCCTCTTATTTATAAGGCAGAAAAAAATTTCTTAATTCTTTTTATAAATTACCTCATTAAATTTTTAAGCAGTTTTTAAATAGTTATTTTTCTGAAAAGTATATATATAAACAGGTGGAAAGTTAAAAAAAAATCTTATATTTTAAGATTTTTTTATTTATACAAAATATGTTTAAAATGTTTTATAAATAAGTTTAGAGGAGGGTAAAATAAGTGAACGTGATTCCAATTTATGCGGAGTGCTTGGAAGCATTCCGCACAAACATGCCCTTAATGAAATTGACTCGCCGGGTGTTGTAATTAGATAATACTGACCCCTATACTTCTTTTCTCAGTTCCCGGAGAAAATGGATGCGATAATAAATTTAGCTTTGACCAATCAATCAATTCATGTTTGGTTTCCCAAGCCTTGGCTCATCCAATGACGGATGACCCGTTTGAAACTTTCAATCCAATTCTCTGAAAAAAAAAAAACAATTTTAGAAAAATCAAATGAGCTCGCGGATCCACGCTCATAGCCGTATGGACTAAAATCAAGTTTCCTTTCCATCTATTATACTCTCGTTTTTTTATTTTAAGATTTAATTTTTTAAATAGGTTTGTCTTTTTTTATAAGATTATTTTTAAATTTTTCTGAACATTTAATGTAATATTATCTGTTTTACCTCTAATTTAATATATTAAATATATTTTCTTTTTTATTTATCTCACTATTACTTTATTATATTTATCTATTTATATATAAAGGTATATTTAAAGAAAAAAACTATATTCGTTACACATTAATTATTTTTAACTAATTTTAACTGTTTTTTTAGACCATCTAATTTAGTTAAAAAGGCTATATAATAAGGGATGGGATAGTATATCTGCAATAACCGACTCACTTAATTAATCACCCAATGCTAAGCCAAACATGGTATGAAAGCAAACAACCGAAGTCGTCGCTCCCATTTTCAAGCCCGTGTTTGTGTTAACCAAGCTTTTCTTCCCATAATTAATAAGGCGGGCGGCCCCCTCGCCCAACCTTTTCCACACATTTTAGATACTGTGATGTTAATAGTGTAAGAGATAATTAAATAATTTAAAGAGATTAAAAAATTTATTAAGTTAGTTGTTTATAATTAATAAGTGTTATTTTTTTACAATACTTTTGCTAATTATATGTATTAACTAAAATTACTATTTGATAAAATTTTTAATATATGTAACTGCTGTAAGAACTACTTTGAGAAAAATAGATTAAATAAGAAAAATAAAATAAATTAAAATCTTATATTTATGACTAAATTGAATATTAAACTAGTTTTTATATTAAAGACTCAATATAATATTAATTAATAATTACAATTGCTTTATAAAAAAAGGATATTAATTAAATTGGAATTTTATAAATTCCTCGAATGTGGACGTGGGCCCTCCTCAACTGTTGAACTTTTTTGCTTTTGAGCAACACTGGGATGAGATTCTCACCAGTCACGACCAAGCCAAAAGTACCGTCAAAGAAAATGTCCAACTAAAAACAAATGGCTAGTTAAAATTCTCGTTTCTGAGAAATATCTCATCATTAAATTACCATTTCAGTAATTCAGGTAAGGCCACCTCAGCTTATTAAAATCTACTAGTACCGCCGTAATTTAATTGATTCTTGGAATATGACTGCGTCCCACTTCTATTTTTACTTGTCAAATTGAAAAACGCAGGCAATATATCTTCACGCGAATATGTCATTTGATTTTATTATGAATTTTTTTGTCAAATATAATGTGGTATTTTAGCATGCACTGGTTATCATTCTTGAAAGTAGAATAAAGAGCACAATTTAGGAAATCGATTTATAGTCAAACACGGTTTTATGAAAAACAAAATATACATAAAACTACTAAAGAAGGAGCTGAGCTTGATCAAAGACTCGGCTCAGATCCAATCGGCTCGAGTCCCGTTTTGCTCCCTAACGGTTTCAGGACTGAACCTTTTGGGAGTGACTCCTCCAAAACCCCGTTCCGTCGAACGGTGACCACGTTTCGGCATCCATCTCCCTGATTTCTGACCCCTCCTTCAGCTTTTCCTTCGCCATCTCCGATGCCAGGTGCTCCTCCAGCGTGGTCTCCACGTAGTAAATGGGCCTACACTTGGCCCCACTCCTCTCATTCAACAACACGTCCTTGTCCTTCTTCAGCTTCTGCGGTTGCGTTTTCCCTTTGTACGTGTGGATTGCCTTCCGGCAGAGTCCTACCGGCACCTTGTACACCACTAACGCCACGATATTCATCACCGTGCATGGCAAGCAGCAAAATATCGCCGTGCATTCCGCCGCCGTACCCCCGGCAACCTCGCCGGCCCCACGCCTTCCTCGCAGCTCATTGTTCATGACCGGCCCGTGGGTTTTACCCGGCAGGGAATGCGGGGGATTCATCAACTTTTGATTATAATCCCTATCCAAATCCAAATGATAGTCGGAAAAGCAAATACGAAGGACGGAAAACTAGAGAAGGAATTGGAGGAGAGGTTGTGTTTTTATGATGAATGGTAAAATTCGGGAATTTTGGTGATTCATTTCTCCGCTCGGCTTGAAACCGAGAATTTTCCCGAGAAATACCATTAGCAAGAAAATGCGAAGGAGGTAGCATTGAAAATCAAGTATTTAGAGGGTATGGATTTAGTTAATTTAGGATTAAGGAGGTAAGGGAAAGGGAACGACAAAGAAAATAACTGGTTTTATGAGAGGTGGAGGTTGCAATGTTATGGAGGAAAATACGGTGAGAGCGTGACAAAATCCTCGTATATTCGACAAGGATTACTAAAGTCCTAAACGCCTTCCTGGCTTTTTTGGTTCCCCTCTTTGCCAGAAGCTATGTAGACCTTTTTATTGCTATTTATAAAAACATTATTCGCTGAAGGAGCCAGATATACAAGGCTTAAAAAGTAAATAATAATTTGACCAAAAAAGTAAATAATTTCTAAACAATATTAAAAGTTTAAATTTATTTCAATTTATTGTTGTTGAATATTTAATTGATAAAAGGTTTTCCCTCTAGTGACGTTTGTCTCCACGCAATTTTTTTTCATTTTCGGTTCAGAATTCAATAATTTCTTTCTTCACTCGTTCATCCAATGATGAAGTCAACAACCATGGTTAAAAAAAAAATGAAGTTAACAAGGCTATCTCTCCTTTCCTCTGTGTGCGCTCGCACGTGAATTTTTTTTTCCTTTTTTTTTTTTGTTTTTAGAGAATAAGAAGAAAACGCACGATGTGATAACTTTTGAGCGTGATCGTAAACCTTTTCCAAACATTAGGAACCGATTAGCTAACCCCATCTCTGAGAGCCCTGGCCCCAGCAATGAGATCTTCATGTTAGATCTCATTGTCTCCTCTATCTGGTTTTCACTTCTGTTCTCTCAAACTCAGCCAGCGAGTGCCACATTGAAAGGGCAGAGTGGGGGCCTGAAAATCTGAAATGAACCTCAGTACTCTATACATCTCGTTGCACAAAACGTAGAATGACTCAATTGCAAATTGCTATGATACCGCCCCCCAATGAGTCAACGAACACAGATTCATGCTGCTGGAACCTTACTTCTAATGGCGCTTTTTTCCGTCGCTTCAGCCTATCATGATATTCAGCAATTTGACAAGGAAATGCAGGACAAAAGTTGGCAATGGATTTGGAAGTGGCCTGGGATCCAAAGAGTTCGCACTTCTCTCTGGCTAGCCACAAAAAACAGACTCCTCACAAATGCTGAAAGAGTTAGAAGAGGCATTGCTGAGACAGCAGTTTGTGAGATCTGTCATGCATCTGTTGAAGACCTTGATCACATCCTCCGATTTTGCCCCTCGGCCTATAACTGCTGGATAAAGTTCATCCCTCTCTGTAAGATACAAGAATTTTTTGCTAAACCCCTCAAGGATTGGTTGCTCTGGAATCTCAATCCTAGATGCATGGGCCCCCACAGGAGACTGATCTTCGGCACCCTCTGTTGGAAGCTTTGGGACAATAGGAACAAAGGCATTTTTGCTAGTTACGCTATGTCTCCTGAGGATATGATCATTACCGTTATTTCTTTTGTTAACCACACCTACAATGCGAGAGGTGTCTTAGATTCTATTGCTGACTCTGCTTAGAAGTTTGTAATTACTGTCTGTAAATACTTTGATCGATATATTCTTTCAACTCAAAAAAACGTAGAAGGGATTAATTACATTGAACCAACAGCAGTTTGGTTAGTTTACAGTTGCATAAATTAATGAAAGGGTCAATGCGACCCTAGGCATAATACCGGAGGTACATCAGAACATGTTGTGAATTAAGTGGAGGATAAGGAACAGTCATACAGTTAGACGCATTAGGCAGCATGTGAACTGCCTTCTTCCAGCAACAACTTTGTCTCCAGGACAGACGCCCTTACATTTTGCATTTCTTCCTCTAGCTTTTCAAACAAGCATGAATTAGATGTTGAGGCCAGCAAATTGGCTTTCTCACTAGCAGCCATGACTCTAGCTGTCTGTAACTCCTCGATTCTTCTGGACCCCATCTGTAATTCTTCCTCCAGGATCTTTATCTCAGCCTGCTTCAAATCTGATTTAAACACATATTCCTGCAACTCAATGATCATGGACTCTATTTCCGTCATCCCATTGTTTCTAAATTCCAAGAGCATCTCCTTTTCATTCATCACTCGCTGAAGTGCTAGCTCCTTTTCCTCTGCTTTCCTCAAAACTTCCTGTATTTCCATTTGAACAGCTTGTATCTGCCCCTCCAAGGTTGCGTGCTTTTTATTTAGATTTCCTAGTTCCTTTCTTGTGATGCCAAGCTTTTCCTGAGACAGCTTCGTCGCTGCTTGCAGCTTGGTTGTTTCTTCCTCTGACCTCAGTAAGTCAGTAGCTTTACCAATCAGATGCCAGTTTTTCTGTGAAGAGTCCATGTTCTGAATGTTATCAATCGCAAAGAGAACCTTTTCACTCTCCCGCTTGCGGTTCTCTTCCTCCAATTGGGATTTGGTAAATGCAAGGTTTGCCACCAGTTCAGCTTCAGATTCTTGGTTTTTCTTTTTGGCATTCTCTACCCCAAGCTTGCATGCCTGAAGAGAAGCCAATTCCTCTCTCTTTTCGTCAAGACATCTCGTCAATTCACATACAACGGCCCTTGCTTGTACTTCTCGTTGCTCAAAATAAGAAAACGATGAGACAAAGTTTGACAATGAATATTTAACTGCAGAAAACTTCTTATCAACTAGAGTCCGTCTTTCTTGTGCTTCTGATAGCAAGAGTTTTAAGGATTCTATCTGCTGATGTTTAATATGGATGTCGTTTTCTATAACTTCAATTTCTTTGAAGAGCTTATCCACCTCGATCGTGGCCTTTTCAGCACTGCCTAGCGCTGCCAGAGTTCTGACAACATCTGAAATCTGTTCTTCCACTCTTTCAAGTTTCTTTCTAGCATAATTTAATTCCTGTGATAGCTCTTCCGCAGTCAGTACTTCGATATCCATGTCAGAGCAGACAGGAACATCGGCCTCATGATTCACTCGAGATTCCTTCATTAAAGCACTCTCCTCCAGTAAAACTCTTTCTTTGACGTGGCCAGGAAGTTCATCTGATTCGCGATAGTTATTTTGCTGGGCACTGATCTGACTTTGCCCCTTGTGGTCATCACGCTCTATACACAAATTAGAACCAGACAAAGTAACCAAGCCTTTACAGTCAATCCCACCCTGCATTCCCCGGAAACCAGTTTCCATACCCGATTCTTTTTCTCCCTCATCGACTTCAACCAGCTTTTCTGGGCATTCCATTTCCCTTCTGGATTCATCTCTTTCATGGACACAAGATGAAAGGATTCTTTTAAGATCGTCCCTCTCTTGCATGGCTCTTTCGTACAAGCTCATCAACTTTTCATTTTCTTCATTCATTTCGAGTACTTGGTGCTGCAGATTCTCAATTGCTCTTTTCATCTCAGGCTCAGTGTCCTCTTCTCTTGCTCCTTCAGGAGAACAGCCGCCATTAACCTGGGCAGCATCTTCTTGAGCATCCTCAGCTTTATTAACAATTATGTTATTATTTTCAGCAGCAGCCTGTTCATACAATTCAATTAGCTTGCTGTTATCCTCGATCAAAATTTTAAGCTTCATCTTGAGCTCATCATTCTCCTTTGATAAAATAATTGCTGTCTCATGAGCCTCTGCCTCTCTTTGACTAGCAGCAGCAATAGCATCTACCATTGCTTTCAATTCCAATTGATCATTGATGCTAATGATGGACATATTGCTTGGTGATGGGGGAAGGTCCATTTCCCGGTTTCCCTCTTCCATGGTTTGGAGTTTCTCTTGTTCAAGTTTTGTTGCCAAATCATCCACTTGCCTACAAGATAATAATTAATGCAGAAATTAGAAACATTGGATCTTCAAGGCAAACAATCAAGAAAAAGAGCAACGTCAAGAAAGTATTATTTCAAGAGTAACTCTCAGTCAAAACCAAAGCCATTGTCGGGTCGCCGCATAAGGAAAGTAAAAATGAGAAATAGAGTGCGAGGGGAAAGGGGGACTGGGAAAGAGCGTAAGCACCTTTCCAACTTTGCTTTCTCTTCAAGGCAAACTTCTAACTTCTTGCACACTGAGTCCATTTCTTCTTGCCTTTGGATAGCCTGCCATTGATAAATTGATATAACGTTAGACTTCAGTAACAGTTTGACCAATAAAGAAAATGAAATTCAAAATAAATCATAAATGAAATTTATCTAGACCTGCATTTTGAGAAACTCATTTTCCTCACGAGTAGAAGACTGCAAAGGTGATTTTGGTCCTAACTCCTTTGGTCAAATATTAGCAAGAAATAAATTAGTCAGACATAAAAATGATTTCGAAAAGGCAGTTAAAAAACTGAAGGGTAGAAGATACTGAACTTAAAAGAGTAGGTTACAATGCCACCAAAAATATGCAGGTTATACAAGAAATTGATTCAGCTAAAAAATGGACTAACCCAGATCTAATTCTAGCTCAGATAATCTAAATCAATTTTAATTAATGACCCATACATGCTGACAACACAACTAAGGAAGACTCTATCTTTACCTCTTTGGAAGTAAGATTCTCATCACCATGTGCCTCTTCCATCACCGAGTCAGAATTTGTTTTCTACAGCATTGGCAATATTCGAGCAGGTCAAAAAGAGAGTACCAACCACTTCTAGACATGTAAAAGAGATGAAAATATGAACCACTACCATGTCAGCTTCGTGCATTAGTTTCCAATCTAGTGCTTCTAGCAACTGCACAGAGTGGCAAACAGAATCAGCACCGAGGAGAGCTTGAATGAGAACTTCAAGTGAAATTTGAGGACTACAAATAAATTTATCCACACCTTGTTTTCCAGTACCATGATCTGTTCATTCATTACTTCCCTTTCACCCTCTTCATAAAATGATTTCAACCTATGCAGCAGAGACATGTAGACACTTAGCAGAAAAACATACAGAGAACAACTTCAGATCAGAAAAAGTTATCAATAATTGATCTCTTCACATTTTGCACCATGGCATAGATAACAAGCAATGTACGCATAGCAACTATATTCTTTATTTAAGATCGATTTTGGTACAATAATTAATAAGAACTTACTTTGTTTCACAAGAAAAAAATAACGAAATAGAGGATTCATAATGTCCAAAATAAAGACATGCCTTCTAATTTCTTCTTTTAATCGCAAATTTTCCATTGCAAATCTAGTCACTTCTTGGTTTCGATCCACCTGTGCTCGCAAGACCTCAATTTCTTTCAAGTGCTCCTCTTTCTCTTTCAGCAAGTGTGCCTCAGCAGAGATCTTTCCAGAAGCAATCGCTTCTAGTCTCTTTATTCCAGCTTCTCGAAAACGAAGCCTCATCTTGAGACCTTGAATCTCATCTTCCCTTTGTTTGGCCTAATTCATCAAATTCACAACCATGTAATTTCCATAGAATTACACCATCGATGAACAAGAACCATGAGTATTGCAACTAAACATGTTGCTCACTCAAAAACCATACAAAAGCATTACCATAGAGCAACATAAACTGATAATAAATATAAAAAACTTTCCAAGATCATTGCTTCATGCAGTGCAGAAGCTGATCTATTTGTTTTTCCACTTCCATCCTAATCAGACAGAAAACTGATATAGCAAACCCTTAATATACTGCTTTTTTGCACATACAAGTTGCATGGCTGCTTGATTTTCAGCTCTTAGTGCCTGCAATGCCATCTCTTTGTCCTTCTCCCTCCTAAAGGCCCCAACGAGTGCAACTTCATAGTCTTTTTTCTGAAAGAGACAAAAAAAAAAAAAAGAATCTCATCAGAGTAAAGAAAAGAATGATAAACCGGATGATTTCTTAGATAGCACAGAAATAAGAATCTACCTGAGATATCTTTTTACTGGAGGTTAATGGGCTAAATAATCCATGGTTTCCCTCCCATTTGAAGGATCCTGGAGATCCTGGAAAGTTAATGACCGAAATGTCATTATCCTGAGCTTCTCCTCCACCAACCAGACCTCGTAAACGGGATACTTCTTTCTGAAACCCATTAAAAATGTGTAAAGATAATTGATTTGATAGATTCTCCATGCAATAACACATTTCATCAAATAAATCAACATTGCTCTATATTTATGGTCAGAATGTTTATTGCCAATTCTATAACATTGTCCCTCTTGTGCACACAATGCATTAATATATGTTTAGTAAGCTCTTCTTTGAACCAAATTACTTACACATACACAACCAACACTCAAAAGCAGAAGGAACAGAACTCATTTCGCATGCAGCAAAAGAATTTGTCCAGGTACCTTTAGTTGTTGAATTTGCATTCTCATGGCAATAACATCTCCAGATGCATCCTCATTTACAATGGCCTGAAGGAAAAATAAGAATAGTTAGGCAGAAACTATTGCAATAGCATGAGAATCTTACTGTCATTAAAAGGACCCAGGTGTCAGGATTACTCTACCATAGCTAGTAACCTCTTAGTATATCAGCTTTTCCCACAATAGCATATAATTAAAACAATTAAGTATAACAGGGTCTAGTTCTTAGTACTAGCATATCGTAATCAGCTAATAACAGCCTGTTAATTGTGGCTGCCATAAATGAAGAAGTAAGAAGATAATTTTAAGACATACATTATTCTTAATAAATTTAGCGCGCTGAGCAAACTTTAGTGTGCTTAATGTTTCCAACGAACAACTGCAAGAAAAGCCATATATGTCAAGGGAACTTGTAAAATTGAATGATAAAGAAAAGGATCTAAATCAAGGTCGACATTCACGTATTTTTTGCTACTGGAAGCTACTTTACTGAAGGAGAAAAAAATGAAAATTCTTGAGTAAAAATATTTTGAACAAGAGTAGAAGTTCACTAACCAACTGGAGGGGCTAATATTTGCTATTATTGTAGTTTTGGAATTCCCTCCGAGAGAATCCTGAAAGGAAGAGGCATAAAACTGATTAAGCAACTTGATAATTTGCTTCGCCTTATTTATCTATATAACTAGGATGAAGTAACTCAAATGGTGTTAAAAAATCAGCATAAGAAATCCATCTTTCTAATGCTAAACCTTATCAAGAGGTTTCAAAATATTATTAGGGCTTGAACCACGAACATCTCCATATACTGCCTTGCTCATATCGTCCAAGATTCCAAGACAAATCCACTTAGAGATGTAGGCTCACAAAAAATTAGATACTGGAAATGTCCCATAGATTGCAATTTAAAGTGCTTCAACCTTTTGGTGTTTCAACTTTCAAGCTAACTTTTGAAATTCAATCAACAATTGCTAGCTTGGCAAAGTGATCAACCAAAGAAACCCCCACCTCTGTCTTCATGTGCTTCTTAATTTGCATGCATTACAAAGTCTTTGCTTTCATATAGTTGAAATAACAGTTCCTTTGCTGACAATACAGGGGTTTGTTTGTTTTTTAAACAATGCCACGCCATTGCAAAAGAAAATTCCAATTACAAAGTCTTCCAAAGAACTAGTAATTACATTACAGATGTGGTCATTCTTTAATTACTGAATTTTCTTTCTATACTGGGAAAGAATTAAGAAGTGCACTTGTTAAAGGATTTGGTAATCCATTTGAAAACAAATATTGTGCTTTTGACCTTTATAATTCTATCTATTCAATTATGACCCGCCAATATTGGAGACTGCAATATGGTTTTGAAGTTTGAACTTCAATTTCGACAACCTAATAATCAACTTGGTTCTAAATCACAAACATACCTGAAGCAGAAACGTGAGCTTTGAATCACGGTAAGGAACATGGAGTGACTTCCCATTGGATATACTTACTAGGTTCATAATTACAAGGCTGCAAAGATATATCACCGTCAGGTTAATTTTATTGGGAGGTAACCCCACAGCTGAAATGCCTAGTAAACATTCTTATATTGGTAAACAGGAATTCAAGATCATTGCTAGGTTACCAACCCCAGTGTTGAAAGAGACTTATTGATATTAGTAGCTTCCTTGAGACGTTCGCCTTCTGCACCAGAGCTCTTTTGCCTATTATTAAATTATTAAATGGTACATGTTAGTCTGATGGCATATTTTCAATTTTGAGGTAAAGATACATCTAAATTGTTCGCCCACCTAACATGTACAAACGCATATACACACTATGGAAATCCATTTACCTCTCTGATCCAGCCAAATCTACAAGATTGAGTCGAGCAAACCGGTGGTGATTCACACCTTGAGATTCCCACTAGTATCAAGTAGTTATATTAGTTGCTTATCAAAAATAGAACTTGGAAAGCAGAAGAAAACGTCATTAAATTTACACAAAATGACTAAGGAAGCATTAACATCTCTCACCTTACTTTCAATGATGCAAGTAAACACACTATGAGAACGACTGCTAGCACGATTCATATTAGTGGCAGCAACCTTTCTGTTTGCAGAACCCTATAAAAATTATTGAAACGACAACATCAATGCTGTTGACGTTTAAGCCATCTAGAAAGAAAGAAAAATCTCAAAAGCGAAAATGAAGACGAAGGTATCACATACCTGGATAAGTTGTTGAATAACATCTCGAGCACTTGCAACCTCCACTTCCTTGAGATTTTCAACATAAACTCCTTTCTTACTGTCTTCTCTCATCTGCAATATGATCAGCCAAAATAAAACAGAAAGTTCTTTAAAAAGAAGTTCAAGAGATACATTATAAATTCCTCCTCCTTAGAAACGCGAAGTAATTTATACAGATCATTCCCATAATTTAGAACGAGAATTTTCAATGTCAGATTAATAAGGGAACTTTCAAAGGCAGATGAAGCAATCTTATTGCTGATATATAGTATTCGGAAAGGAGGATGGATATCAACAAAGTGAGGTGATCATAAATTGGAAGAAATAACTAAATTAAGTATCAAAATAGCTTCCCATACCTGCAAATTGTTCGATGATGGTTCCAGAAGATCAAGGATCTGTTCATTGTATATCTCCAAGAAGGAACATTTGCATGTAAATTTTAACTTCTCATCTCTCCTCGCCTCTTTCTCCTATTGCATCAGAGTGATTAGCTTACTTATGCGGGTTATGTTTGAAAATTAGATCAAAAACAATTCCGGAATGCCTGGGGCATCTGCATTTTAGAAGAATACCTTCTGAATGCTAGAAAATAAGTGCTCAAAAACTCGTGGTGTCATCCCGCAGTTAACACTGTGTCTTCGAGTACCACCCTCAATGTCTCCAAGCATGGTGTGAGTCTTCCCACTTCCAGTCTAGGAAAAGAAAAGGTAATCATCTAAATCTAATTCACAATAATATAACCAAAATCATGTCAAATGATCAACAAATCAAATCACGGAAGTCTTAGTCCCTTTCATGATTGGGGATTATAAATAGTAAACTCTAGAAGTTCAGAATATAAGACAAATAATAAAGTTTCCTATCATTTTCTGTGCAGACTTGCACTTGATTGAACAAGAAAGTATTCCTGGAGGAAAAAAAAATGTTAATTTGTTTAATATGACAGAGATAGCAAATAGAATAGTTAAACAAAGACTCACTTGGCCATAAGCAAACATGCAGCTGTTGTAGCCTCCCATACAATTTTCCACCATCGGCAAACCAGCAACTTTAAAAAGCTTCTCCTGTTACAATAATGGTGTAGGATTACGAGTTTTGAAACTAGAGAAGAAAAAGAAAAAGGCTGAACTGTGATAAAAGGAATCAATCAACAACGTACCTGGCTAACGTTCTCATCTGCAACAAGATCAAAGGTAAATCGAGACTCAGGATGCCCAGTCCAAGTAATTGCCTGAGAACTCTCTTGCCTAATGCATTTGTTGTACCCTTGCAATGAGAGTTCGGTATTGCTAAGGGGGCGGATTCTGATAATAACCTAAGCACACAGAAGTGAACCGATGTGAAGTTGATTATCTTACATCAAGTTACAAATAAACCACGATCAGTATAAGACATAACGCAGTCCATCGACTTCTATAAATTTTAATAAGCAAATGTCCTGCCTAGTTCAAGGGTTTCTATAACAAGAGAGAAATTCTTGCTGACAATCAGTGAAAAAAAAAAAATTACCCCTGAACATTATAAAACTTTGAGTTAACTATTTATACGCCGCCAAATAAATATAACATGGATGCAGAACTCTACATAAACGAACAGTTCAAAAGTGACGTGGTTACTTGATATGAATAATCCCAAATACTTTAGTTCTATAATCGTAAATGGAGCAGGGACTTAAAATGCAAACAACAAATCCTCTCTCCACCTGCACGTTGTGATCCTTCCAGAAAGAAGGATCCTCGCAGAATTCGAAGCTTTGACTTGACGATACGGCGCTACAGGCCCCACTTCCATCTTCATCCAAGTCGTTAAAACTTCGAACTGCAGAGCTGTGTACAATACTCTCTTTTGCAGTAGATTTCAGAAGATCTGGAGTTCTTTGAACCAGCGAAATAGAGTCGAAGGAATGATCCTGGAACCCGAACCTGCTCTTAATGGCGCTAGCAGCCTCCGATATGAATGGCATTGTGAAATACTCCAATTAGTTCAGAGAAAACCTACCAATCGAAATCTGCTGAAGCAACGCGAAAGGGAGGGTAAGACAATATTCAGAGCGAACGCTAAACTTTATCGAAATGCACAGATCTACTGAGAAATAGGAATGTGAGAGACAATCGGGGTGAAGTAGAGTAGCAGAGGGCAAGATTCTTTGATCGCACGGTGGAGAATTGTTAAGATAAACGGTCTATACGCCTTTTAGTTCAAAATTTCGGACCGTTTAAGTCAGAATTTCAAATTTTCGATGGGGGGGGGCACGTTTTCTTTACGGGAATCAGAGATAAATAAAATTTTTGCCCTCAACTTTGTCTCAATTATTACTTTGACCTCTCAAATGTAATTTAGATTCATCAAGTCCCTAAAATTTTATGCACACTTGCATTTTTATTAAATTTCATCAACTGGCAATTTTTTAAATAATTTATAAAAATATTGTCATTGTTCCATTAATGATTAGGTCACATGTATTTATGATTGTATATTATCAAATTAGAAGGACTGATTATATATAATTATAAAAATTAAGCTTTAGGAACCAGGCATTAGTTAATTAGTTAATTTTGGTGGTCTGATTTTTTTTTTTTTTAAAGATCTGGAGTTTAACGAGGCTAGTCTGAGAGATAGACCTACAAGTTATTTAAAAAAAGCAAAATCACCTTGATGCTTTAGGAAAAAAGGAACTATTTGTATTTTTTTTCCTTTTTGATTCATATTCAATTGTCTTCAGAGGTTTTGCTTGATAGAGAGTGTATGGGAATTAATCCTCTTAAAGTTGATTCAGTGCCATTGTTTTTGGGCTTTCACCCCTGATATGCAAAAAAAGAGCATAATAAACACATTAATAAACAAAAAATTTCATTGTTTCTGGGGGGAAAAAAAACTCGTGAAGTCAGGAAACAGTTTTTTATTATTTTTGGGCTGCGCTATCCTTTTGTTTTTGACCAAGCATGTATTACTATTGGAATCTATTTAAAGCCCAGCAGGTTCTGTTAAGCTATATTCCCTTGCTTTAGTTTATTGAACCTTATTTTCGACATAGTATTTCCTTTTTTTCCTAAAATGTTCGTATTTGTTGTCTGATGTAGTGGTTGCGCATTTAATAAATAAAGGTGGTTGTTTGTTTTGTTGATAATAATAAAAAAATGAATAATTACCTCTAATATTTATGCTAAAAAATTTCTTTCAGTTGTATCTTATAAAAAAAAAAATTAGAGAGTATTCAACAAACTGCTTGGGCTAATAATTCGTCTGTGGTTATTCAAACATTAGCTTCTAATATTTATCCTTTTAATGCACCGCTTCACTGGCTTTACTGAGAAACAAACTAATCTGCCTTTACTTAAAAAACACACACAAACAAACTAATCTACCACTTCACAAAAGGGGGAGAAAAACTATCTCCGACTAGCAAGTGGCGTTACTCACTAGTAAATAAATTTGTCTTTTCTGAAGGGTGATTGAAAAAAAAAACAAATAACAACCTTAAAGATTACTATTTGCAATTCAAGAAAACTATGTGATAACATTATTTAAAAAAAGCGTGTTTCCACTAATTCATGGCAAAGAAAAATTAATTCTTTATAATATTACAAAAAATTTAAATTTGTTATCTCATTATAGTTTTCACTAATATCCAATTGGCGAATGACTTCCCTTTGTGCATGGGCGGACGGTCTATAATGGTTCCTTCGACTGTTCATCTTCAATAAATGTTAAAAAGTGTATTTGAGGGAGAATTGGGATAGTGACGTGGACGTCGTGAAGCATACAGATTTTCCAAGGGATGACCCATAAATTTTGTTCTTTGCTGACCACTGCATGTATCGGCTTTGTCCCTGCTCAAGACTGGGTCATCTCTATTGCTCAGCACTGTTAGTTTTAGTGCAGGAGAGAAAATTTCTAGGAAAACGGAGGTTGGTTCCGCGGCTAATTCCATCGGTACATGAACAAAGTGATCATTATGGCGGACGTCACAGCCGTCGCAGGGACAACGCCATCTTCCTCAACCCCCGCATTTTTTCTTCCATTCAACCTTCCAATTTTGTCGGCATTTATGGCGTTCGCTCTCGCCCAGTTTCTCAAGATCTTCACCACCTGGTGCGTCTTATATATGCTTCTTTCTTTTCATCTTTTTTCTCGTGATTTGCGAAGATGCTGCCATTTTGCGTACCTTGCCCAGTTTAGTTTTGATCTCTTTGTTTGATTGCCTTATTGACTGATGAATTTATAATGCTGAATCTTACAAAAGTGACTTTTAACTGGAGCTTAATATTCTTCCTACCCCAACGGAAAGTTATTAATTCTCTCGTCAGTTGGATCAAAGCGTTTGTAAAGGTGGCTTGAGCGATTACCTGTCTTTCTCGGTGAGCGGAAGTACTAACAAGCGTTCATTTCCTCTCAAATACCATGCATGGCATGTGTTATCTTTTATGGTTCTTGCCTTGAAGGAACAATAGGGAGAGAAGGGAGGCTGCTTCTAGCAATTTGTGTCCGATATGTACTGGCAAATGAGAGTACGAGGCCGTCCCATTTTGTATGCCTGTAGAAATGATGTGACTCTGAATTGATATGCAGTTATATAGTTTAATTCTTAGAAAGGAAAGAAAAAGGCCTTTTGACATTTAATGAATGAATTGCTTTTAAGTTATGACGAGACCTTACCTCAATTCTTGTTAACATCTTCAAACTTCATTTTGGCTTTTGGTTTTGAGCGAAAATCTGACGTCTATAGCCATAAAAGCTATTGCATGCTTCAAGAACTGTAAATGTGCAGTACAAATTGTTTATGTGTGTTTGTGATGTGTGTTTATTTTCATACAGATAGGTGTATATAAGCGGTTTCTGGCATAGGAAGTTGAGTTTCATGGGTGTGATATTAAGTACCTATTATCGCATCATGCTTTCTAAACAAGAGCAAATTTGTCGTGCTGACCCCTTAAGACTAGAAATATAGTATGAACTCAAACCACTGAAATCTTGCTCTTAGGTACTCAGGTACAAGGAACGGAAATGGGATTCTAAAAGGATGCTTGATTCTGGTGGGATGCCTTCATCACATTCTGCTACTGTATCAGCTCTAGCAGCGACAATAGGCATCCAAGAAGGAACAGGGTCACCCGTTTTTGCTATTGCCGTTGTCTTGGCATGTATTGTAAGTACTTCAATTATTTTTTTTTTTTCCTGATCATCAGTTGTGATCAAAGATATAATGTCAGTACTTCACCATGATTGTATTCATATGTATTCTCTTCTATTCATATTTTCTTAACCTCTTTCCATAACTGGGCAAGTAATTTCGCAGATTTTGCTCCATTGCATTCGTTGATTTGTTGTGTGCTCACTTCAGGGAAGTGGGATAACTCACTTTTGTTAATGTTTATAGGTTATGTACGATGCTTCAGGAGTTAGACTTCATGCTGGCAGGCAGGCTGAAGTAAGTCCTCTTATAGGTTACTTGATGCAGAGCTAGACTTTATAAGTTGCTTTTGATCATGGTAACGTCTATGTTCACTGCAGTTGCTAAATCAAATTGTGTGTGAACTACCCCCCGAACATCCTTTGTCCAACGCCAGACCTCTGCGTGATTCACTCGGTCACACTCCGTTTCAGGTCCGTTGTTCTTGTTCCTTTTGTTATTATTTCATTGATTCCTTACCTTTACTTTTCTTAAGGATTTATCATGTTATAGCTGTTGAGGCATTTAAAATACAGCTGCACAAGTTATACTCAATGAGAGTACCCACCTGAACCTATTTTTATCTCATGAGTTTTGGTGTTGTCGTCCTTTGATATAGAAGGAAAATGAATGATAAACCCAGCCTTGCATTTTCACAAATCAAAACTGAAATAAGCTGCAGTATTTTAATTTAGTATCTTGGTTTCAGTGACTTAAATATCCTTCTGTACAGGTTGTGGCCGGTGGTTTATTGGGATACATTGTGGCTTTCTTGATGAGGAACTCCAATTAGGATGTCATGTGATCCATATCTTCCCTTGTATTTCATCACTAACCTCTCTGCATGGCCTGCCAAGGGAGACAACCATGGAAAGGGCACAAAAGCCTAGAGTTGACGACGGTTCACCTTAGTGCCGGGATTTCCCGCTTCCTGGCCAGCCTTGTCAAGAGTCCCTTTCCTCAAAGCTCATAAGCACACGAGTTAATTAACTGATACTGAGAATTGAGACATTTCGATTGGGCACGACTATTTTTATTATATTGATGACGTTGCAAGCCATATTTTATGCGTATGTGAAACCCACGAACCTATCTAACCTTCTACTGTGGAATTCTGTGACATTTTATACCAATCAGTCAATTTCTTGATCAAGTTCGATTTATTGATAATATTTTAACCTTATGGATAAATTTGTATGCAAGCATCATCAGTGATTAATTGACAGGAATGCCAGGGCAATTTATAAATTTCACGAAACACTCTCCTCATAATATCCCGATTAGTTTATAAAGCATGCCCTGGTATGTGATTAAAAGTGAGCTCTCCAAGTTGACTAAGAACAAATTTTATGCATAAACATTCACATGGTAGTCTTACTAATGCTCTCTGCTTTGGGATAGCAAGAGAGAGGAACTTCCTCGGAACAGAGATGGGAAAATGCTTTGGGGATGAACACAGAGGAAATAAAAAAACATATTTCTTGAACTATAAATTCATGAATAAAAAAAGAAGTATCCAAAAGTCAAGTCATAAATATGGAATAAATATTAAAAAAAAAAAAAGGAGCCATTGCAAAATCCTCCCTCCCCCCGGGGGGCGCTGAAAAAAAAAAAAATAGAGCCAACCAACCCATTCGCTTTTTATAAATACCTTGCTTCTTACTAATTCTTGGCTTTCCTCACACATCTTCATCCCTGAATTACACCTTCCTAGCCTCTGCCAGATATACCAGCGCGTTGATGAATATCCTAAGCCTTCTGCTTCTCTTTTATCCATCCTCCGAACATGGTGAGTAGTGTGCTGACAAAAATTTTTATTTATCATATGAACAAGATGAAATATTTAGTTATAATTAGATTACATGTACTTCATTTGTTTTGTGTGATGTTTAAAATGTCAGTCTTCAGACAAAAAATTGTTATAAATTTAATGTTACATTGCATATATGTTGACCGCATTAATTACATATGATAAAAAATTAACCATAAAAAATGTTGAAATTAAAACTAAGATTAAAAATTGTTTGGGTTAGCGCTTGCCAGAGTTTGCAAATTTGATCATATTAGCTTCCCAGAGGTTTTGAGTGCAAAATGTGGATAAATAACCATGTTGACCAAACAAACAATAAAGGAGATCAAGGAGATTTTGGGCCTCAGGTGTTAAGTTTCGATCAGCCATCTTCGCCAGCTCTGCCCACCAATCCCTCCCCAAGACACCCAAAAAAAAAAAAGTTTTTCCCAGCCAAAAACGCCGCAGCTTTTGTTGCCGTTTACGGATGCCCTTCCCTCTGAGACGTCCGGCGTCGTTTGAGATCGCCTGATGCATTTTCCTCTGAGCTCTAGGGCGATGTGCTGACAAGTGAATCTAATTCGTTGTTCAACAGTGAGGGAGAGCGAGCGAGAGCAAAATCGAAATCCAAAGCCTTAACAATGGCGTTTGAGATTCCACTAGATCAGATTAAAGAGTTACAATTGCTGCTTCGCAAAGAGGTCAATTTACCTTGGTACGAGCCCGAGAAAGAGGACCCTTTTACGCTTCCTAAGCTACCATCAGTTGCAGAAACAATAGCAGGGCTCGATCCCTCGCCTCCCTATCTTCGCTGCAAGCACTGCAAGGGCAAACTCCTCCGAGGGGTGCAGTCATCTATCTGCGTTTTCTGCGGCACAAATCCCCAGAAGGATTTGCCTCCTGATCCTATCAAGTTCAAGGATACTGTTGGATATCGCTTCTTACTAGACTCCCTTCAATTAGATGGATCGGTAAACTTAATGTTATCTTCCTCTTGTCTTTTTTTCCCCCCTCTAACATGACTTTTACCTTGTTTCTTACTTGGTAAGCTCTGTTCTGAATTCAGTTCTTCTGTCCAACCTATCATTAACTGCTTACGTTAATGTTGGTGATGGTTAGCTTGTTGATATATGATAAATTCCCTTTCCCTAGTGAGAGATTTGCAATTTTCATGTGGACCTGTTATCCAGCTTTTTAATTCTGATCAATTTTGATTGTAAAAATTGCCGTGTGTACTTGACACATTTTGTTGCAGGAAATGGTGGGACCAATTAATAAACGGAATGATTCAAGCAGAGCGAGGAATGCATCAAAAGAAGAGATTCCCTTATTTGAACTGTTAGATTTGGAAATTTTACGGCCTTCTGAGTTAGATGGACCTCAAACCAGTTACTCAGATGAGGCAGCATTCCAGGGCAAAGGTTCATTAAATTTGGCTGCAGTTGACCTTGATAGTTTTTTCGCTCGGAGGAAATCTGCTTCTGATGCATTTGAAGATCAATTGGCTTCAAAGAAGCCAGTGGATAGCGCCACAGATAAGCCTCTCCAAACCAACGAAGACCTTAGTTTGTTTCAGAATGCCCGGTTTCCTGAAAAAACCACAGGGCCTTCAGAAGGTCAGAGTGGCAATTCCTTTTCTGGTTGGGAGGCAGACTTCCAGTCTGCAAGTTCTGAGTCCGTTCATAAAGAGTCCAAATCATTTGATCATTCTGATGTTGATCTGGATGGGGTGTTTGGATCTGGGAGTGCTTCTCTTGTTGCAAAGAAGAATGACAGTTTGAACCCTTCGGCGTCTATGGAAGATGATGGGTTTCAGGCTGATATGCGAGGAACTTCCGAGGTAACCAGTCAGACCGGGAAACCTGAATTTATGTTTGATCTAAATTATGCAAAAATGGCGGAGAGCACTAGCAGCTCTACTAGAAATTCAGACTGGATGCAAGCTGACCAGGTGCAAGAAAGCCAAAACAAGACGACAGATAATGGGATTACTGACGAAGCAGCTGACACATTGGATGTTTGGGATGACTTTACTGGCTCGGTCAGTACACAAGATCCCTCCAGTAGTGTTTCAAACTCAAAGATAACTACCAGCCCGACTGGGGAAGCTAAAGTGACTGCTAATCTTAATGATACGAAAACAACGGAGGGTAATCATAGTTCATCTACAAAGAATTTTGATTGGATGCAAGATAACCTGTGGCCAGGAAGTAATAACAAGACAACAAATACCGTCTCTACTGATGAAGTTACTGATTCAATTAATGCTTGGGATGACTTTATAGGCTCTACTGGCTCACAAAATCCTTCCAGCAGTTTTCCTAACTCAGTGATGGCTAGTCAGACTGAGAGATCTGAAACTACTGCTGATCTTAATGATAGAAAAGTTGTGGAGAGCAGTAACAGTTTTGACTGGATGGGAGATGACTTATGGCGAGGGAATCATAACAAGACAACGGACGCTGTGACTACTGAAGAAGTTCCCGATTCCTTGGATGATTGGAGTGTCTTTACTGGCTCAGCCACTACACAAGATCCTTCCAGTAATATTTGGAAACAAACTATAAATCAGACATCTTCTGCTCAGCAGACATCTGAAATAGATATAATCAGTTTATCAGGCAATTCAAATGTTAATAATTTTGGCGGCTTCAAACAACATGATTTATTTTCAGAACAATTTAGTGATCCATTGAGTTCTGCTGGAGCAAACATGCAGACTGGGGCTTCCTCCGGCAGGTGGGTTTAATGTTATGTTGGCTGCATCTCCCCCCCCCCCCCCCGGGGGTTTCTCACATCTTCAAGAGATTGAGTTCACAAGTGCAGTCATTTAGTTTACAATAATAAAATTCTTGAAACTCCAGAGGAAGTGCTGAAATGATTGATGCATTTAGAGATTTAGCTGACAGAAGATTAAATGAAGGGCGGGCAAAGGGCATCTGTTGCGAGTAACTGCATGTCCCTTTCCCCAAAGTAGAACTATGCTATTTTCACAAGATCCATATCAGTGCAATGGCTGATGTGGGTTTTTAATCTACGATTCAAAATAACTTATTGATCCATGCCTTATGATTGACATTTCTCTCTTTAAACAAATAAACGCATCTCATACTATATGTTGCGTGTTCAGGGTGGCTTCTGGGGATGCGGCCGGAGGAAACTCGGGAGATGTTTCCAGTGCAAAATTAGGGTCAAATGTTGATGATGTAGAGATGTTGTTGTCTCAAATGCATGATCTGTCGTTTATGCTTGAGAGCGAGCTTTCAGTTCCCCGCAAGTAATATTGAAGTACATTATCTTCATATTCATGCGCAGTTGTTGTTTACATATGTTAAGATTCATTTTTTTAATTTGTAACACAGCCTTTATCCTTCCTGTTCTCTAGTATCTGTGTTATATAATGAATAGAGAAGACAGTTGAATGTCTCGGTCATGGATTGCGTGTGGTAATTTTGAGGTGCTGTGAGGATGAAATTGTTTGCTAGTCGTCCTCTCCCTCGTAATTTCTTCAGAAGAGATCGTTCAATTTAATATGGAGGCTGGGGTTAACGCCTCTTGTGAAATGTCCGAACTTTCAGCTCACCGCGGCCTCAATGGGAAACAGTCTTTGCATCGCGAGTTAGGAAATGTACTAATCTACAAATCATTGTGCTTTATTAGTTTTAACAATTTCTAAAAATAAAATGAATTTCCATTTTTATACTAAATGTTTTATTCCCCGTATTAAATCAAGTCCTTTTTCTCGTTTCTTATTTCTTACTCTTCCGGCTCTTAATATAAGATTTATTTAACTAATTTGATTAAATTAAAAAAGTTAGGTAAGTTAATTAATTATAAAAAATATGATATATTTTTACTAAAACACCATAATCATCTTCTCTCTCTTTTTAATTTGATTATGGTTGAAGGAGTATCCATAAGGGTAATTTAAAAAAAATTGATAAATATAAGAAATAGGGTTTATATTTAGAACTAAAATCAACTCAACAATTAGGTCCTATATTAAAGACCGAAAGAGTATTTTATTCTCATTTCTCAAGATAACAAAACCAAAAAGAAATTAAAAATGTAAATTAAAAAAAATAGTTTTTTCATATACTAAGTTTTTCTCATTTCTTATTTCCCCTTTGCTAAATGCCATGCTATGATTTTTTTTTAATTTATTAAATATTTTCATTTCTTGTTTCTTATTTTGGTTTTTACTGAATGCTTTATTAATCATTTTTTAATTTTATAAGCTAAGTCTAGTAAAAGAACAAACACATAAAAAATGGTACTATTCAAATTATTTTTCACCCAACTGAATAAACTCATACTCTTACTGCATCTATATCTATGAAGGATGAAACTAATAACATTATATTAAAAAAAAACACTTAAGAGGTACTTGAATGGAAATCAAATCATAATTTTAAACATAATTTTATGGTATATGAAGTATATAAGAAGAATTTTATCTCAATTTACATAAAAATAATTTTTAAAAGTGATTTTTGATTTAACCAAACATAATAGGTCTCATTTGGTACGAAGCATTGAAAATAAAGAATTGAGATTGGGATTGCAATTAAAAAAATCATTAAAATAGTATTTAGTATGAGTAATTACTTATTATATGGGATTAAGTAAACTCATAAAGGTAGGATTAGAGAATACTACTTCTCCCATGGCATTCTCCAATCTCACATACATAAGTTTGGTTAATCATATATAACAAGTAATCTCTTATACTAAACACTCTTTTAATAGATTTTCTTAATTGTAATATTAATCTCAATCCCTTGTTTTCAATACCTTCTACCAAACACAACCATAGTGTTATTGGGTCAAATGCCTCTACCATCAAGCAAAAAAAATGAAAAGACCTCTACAAACCATAAAAATTCATTATAGTTTAATATTGATGATTGATATTAATGACTAGTATCTTGCAAATTTTTGCAAATTATATTTATTTAGTATTAGCTTCTTGAAATGGATAAAAATATTCTTAAAATACAAAAAATTTGTGGAATCTCCTAATCTACTGAAGTAAAATGTGGAGAACAATTTTTACCAAAAAAACAGAAATTTATAAAAAAACTTTATATCAAGTGAGCGTAGGAAGTTCCTATTATTATTCCTCAGTTATATAGAACGAATTGATTATACTATTGAATTACTTATTATGTGGTGCATGAGCCCACTTTGTAATTTCCCCATTGAGTCCAGGTCAACTGTACATAGTATAAATTCTGCGGACGTTCACGGATCACCTACTTGCTGCGAGCATATTCCTCTATTGTCAACCCCTTGCAGTTCTCTCGCTTGTCACTCCGTTCGATGGCTGACTCTGCTTCATCTCCTTTCAAGAAAGTCCAGATTCAAAGGGATGACACTGTAAGCGAGCCTCCTTTCTGCATTCTTATAGTATATTTTGCATTATCGCTGATTTCGGTTGCTCTCTATGCTGATTTGCAAAGTCAGTCTTACACTTGTACGATAAACTCATTTTCCCTGGTTTTGGCCCATAGATTACCCGATTTATCTATTCAGCGTAATGGTTCCGGTTTTAGCGAATCTAAGCCAAAATTTTCTATCCGGGCTCTACCGGGTGATTTCAACTGTTCTCCCCCTGCTAGAGTTGCTCTTGGAGAATCGCCATTGAAAGAAATGTTAACTTGGTGACACAGACACTGTCCTCTGGGATTTTAATGGTACATGACTTTGCCGTCCGAAATATTTTTTGTGCAAACGAACCTCTGTTGTGAAAAAGGTTTTAAACTTTTTCGATCACTTAGCTATGATAATGATTATTCTTCGGAGCTGTTTTAGTGAGAAGAAGCCATGACATTACTTTCTATTTTCTAAACCTATTCAGAAGGCCACGCCGTGCTCTCTAGCAAGCGTGGATCTCGCGCTTACTGCTTGCGAACTGCCAGACATGCTAACAGTGGCTTCTCAACAACTTGTAACATAGCAATTGTTTTATGCTATTCTACTGACCATCACTCCCAAAAGCTTATGTTCTTCTAGCTCTAATACAGTCCGTGGAAACAAATTTTGTTTTTCAGACTGAAATCATTTTTATGAAGTATCATTCCTTGTTATGGTTGGAACCTTAATTTTCCTATGCCATAAGCCATCATCCTTTGTTTTCTACCTGTCGTGGAACTTCATTTTGAATTTAATTATTCAATTTCTTTGAATGACCAGACATTTGATGCATATGTTGTTGGGAAAGAAGATGCTCCTGGAATTGTTGTGCTTCAGGAATGGTGGGGCGTGGATTTTGAAATCAAGAATCATGCTTTGAAGATTTCTCAACTTGGTTCTGGATTCAAAGCTCTTATCCCAGAGTAAGATATTGGTGATTCCTAAAGATATCTAGATCATCGTCATTTATTTGTTATATAATATCATTTTCAGTATTCAAATGGCTAAGTGGCTTTGCCTATTTTACTAGTCTGTATAGAGGAAAGGTTGGTCTTGATGCGGCAGAAGCACAGCATTTGATGGATGGTCTCGACTGGCAGGGAGCTGTAAAGGATATCCATGCTTCAGTTAACTGGCTTAAAGCACATGGTTCAAAGAAGGTTTGGCACAATTTTATGCTTTGATCGGATTAATGATGCTATCATGCCCTAATCATCTTTCTTACTATCCATTCTGAAGACTTCATTATGTTTTTATTGTCCTGCATTAGTGGCAGAAGTTTCTTTTGGTGTTCATCAGCTCAAAAACTAGTCTTAGGTTCAAAGAAAATTAGTTGGAGGATTTCTTAAGATGTGAGGCATTGGGTAATAGCTTATTCAGGTCATAGAAAGTTGCTTAAATTGTATTTTGCTTGCAGGATTGTTTTGTTGGACGCAGTTTTTATTGTTGGCTATTCTTAAAATTGATTTGTTCTTATATTTAAATATATATTTCAGAATGATCAACTGATAAACATGTGTGATCTTTTGGAGCCATGTCACTTTCTTTTTTTTTATTTGGGGAATTTGGGTATCATAAAGTTGAATTTATTAAACAAAATGTGGATTGTTGCAACAGGCTGGCGTGACAGGATATTGCATGGGGGGTGCACTCTCCATTGCGAGTTCTGTGTTGATTCCAGAGGTTGATGCTGTTGTATCTTTCTATGGAGTTCCTTCTTCAGAGCTTGCAGACCCTAGTCAAGCCAAGGCTCCAGTTCAGGCCCACTTCGGAGAGCTAGATAATATTGTTGGCTTCTCAGATGTTACGGTATTGATTAATTCTTACAATTTCTATAGAAGTATTGCTGATCACTATTGTCTGCTTGTTCATTTCTAACTGGGTAGTTCAACAAGATATGACATCAGTTTTTGGGGGCAGGGGAGTTACCTAGCTTCTAAAGCCTGTATTTAATGTTCACTGGCGAGCATTGGTACTAAAGAGGGACTCTCTTCCACACTTAGGGTGTGCTTGATGGGGGAACAAAGGGTTGGGGTGTTGAATAAGAGAACAGAAACTCTGAAAGTCATTGCATTTTTGCTTAATATGCGGGTTTAATAACTTAAGAGTCAAGGTAGTGGAGGTCGGTATTTTACTGATCAAGGGCCTAAAAAGATTGAGTTATAGGATCAGATCACGGATTGGAAGATCCTGCCTCTAAAGAAATATAATAATTATAATTACAAACTAAAATAACTCGTCCCCAGAATTGGAAGGGGATATTTAAACTTCTAAAAAATACAAAATAAAACATACTGTAGACTCAAAACATGATATAGCGGAGTTGCTGAAACAAGGGGAATTACTGTACAAAATTTCCGGAAATGTTATTGAACAAAAAACAACGCTAAGCGTCTCTTCTGGTTACCTTTAAATGTGTAGCATCACTAAAGGGTTTGGGCCAAGTTTAACGATCTTCTTCCCATCCCACCTGCCTCAAGAGGATAAACATTTGGCAAAAAAGGGAATGTATGCGGTAAGTCCAAAATTTCACATGAATAGTTACTATTTGCGTTCTAATGTTTGGAAAATACTGTCATCCTAAGCTAAGCTAAGGGTGACTGGTCGAAAAGGAAGTGGGGCCACTATCTGCATTCCGTCTTCGACGGTTTCAAGTAAATATTAAAGCTTTCACAGTCCAGATTCCAAATCATCCACAAGAGTCTTGTGAGAGGGAAAACGGTGAGGATTTATGGGCCAAACTTTCGAAGTAGGCCTCACCTCATGAACAACACAACCTCCTTTGTGAAGTTTCAACTTTGGCCTTTCAATTGCTCCTTTATTGCATTTGCACGCGGGATTTTAGTTGTTCCATTTTTATTCTTTGCTTTGTTGATCCTGAGTTGTATATTTGAAATTTGATATCTGCCTGTAGTTTCTCATTTTCTAACAAAGTCCCTTTGTCAAGTATATCTCTTAAGTGTTTTCCATCATAATTGCTACTAGAGCTCCATTGTTTTGCTCACTATATGGAGAATGGAAGAAAGGGGACTTGTTGATATTCTAGACTCAGAACCCTTTAATTCAAGCAGTAACATCATGCTATTTAGGATGATAGTAGTTTATAAATCCATTGGTTCAACCATGAGAATTTGATCAATGTGAAATTTTTTGACTGAGGATGATACACACAAAATTCTTATCCACTGGCGCCGTCTGTTAAATTATTTGATGACTCAGGCTGCCAAGACCTTGGAGGAGAAGCTGAAGTCATCTGGAGTGCCTTATGAGGTACACATATATCCCGGAAATGGACATGCATTCATGAACACGTCTCCTGAAGGAATTAAGAGGAGGAAGAGCATGGGAATGCCTGATGAAGATGAAGCTGCGGTCCAACTGGCTTGGTCACGCTTCCAATCCTGGATGACTCGTTACTTGTCTGACTGATTAATTTTCTAGCTGGCTAGAGTTGTCACCTACTGGATCTATCAAGAGTGATATAGGGTTTATCAGCCCACAAACTTAAAGCTTTGACTCGTGAGCATACGCTTGTTCGCACTCTTGGGTTGTTTCTTTGTATGGAAATCGAGAAAGCTTGTGGTTTTCCTGTAGTTACGTAATTATGGTGTTTGGCTGGTGCCTAGTGGTATGCAACAAAATTGAAGCTCGGACTTGGGAGCACTGTAGTTTTAATTTGTGGGTTGCTTTTTGATGTTTGAGACTTTAAGTACATCTTCGAGAAAAATTCTCTCGAGAATAATCTGGAAAGGTTGTATTGTTCCTGTAACTACGTAAATATGGTGTTTGGTACTTTGGTTAACGCTACTGCGGCCGATAAATTGTTCGATGCTTCTCTGCTGCTATTTATATCCCTCTTGTGCCCATAGAGTCTGTTTAGTATTTGCCCATTTCGGCCTGTTTTTAATGTTTGAAAATACCTGAAGAATCATTTTTGTGCTTTATGACATGAAACTATTTTTATATATTTATTTTATACGGCGTAAAACTACTTAAATCAAATGCTTTAGACTTGATAATTGAATAGATACGAGCAGGTTTAAACTTGGGACCTTTCTTACTGAAACACACCGGGTGTTGAAATGGCATGGCTTATATTATATTACAAGTAATTGGTTGATATGATAGCGTGGAAGGTGATCGATGACGAACACGCGCGCGCGCGCGCGCACATTCGAGGTCAAGGAATTGGAATTAAACGCGTGCAGCTCAGCTGGATCTTCCCGTCCATCCTTGATAGAATCAAAAAGAGGCGCATGTGAGACTTGTGTCTTTTGTGCTGTTTGCTGCATAATCCTTCTCTTGACTCTTGAACAACATTTACTCAAACCCACACAACTCTTTTGTTATGGGTCAACAAAAAAAGACTGCATTTTCATATGCATTTGTTTCAACAAAAAAGTCTTTTTAATTCGGGCTGATCAATTTGGTTAGTTCTAGAAGGTTATGAAGCGAAAGATATAACATCAACTTTATGCCCGAAAGAGAAGGCAATAAAATATGCGCGCGCGCGTGTAATAAATAACTAGACATACTAAATATGAGGATTTGAGGAAGCAGGGGTGAGGTAAAATTAAGGCCGAAAGAGAGGGAGGAGGAGGGGGAAAGATCCGGAGCTCAGTAGCTGCACAGGGACGCGTGGGGCCCCACTCCCATAAAAAGGTCTTGACCGCTGACTATTCGACCTTTTCGCCCCAGAGCCTTCCCCCGCCCTCCCGTCTTTTTGGATCCCATCTGGTCAATATTATTCATTGATTTTCTAAAATTTCCCGAATATATTTCTTTAGTTTAATTAATTGATTTTTTTTCCTCGCTCTTCTCAACTAAATCAACAGCCTATTTCCGCTCCTTCTTTATGTGCCTGAGCTAGCAATGCATATTTAAAAAAGAAAGAAATTTTTGATTCGTATATCTTTTATGGTGGCAAAATAATTAAAGGATGAATAATTTAACTTTTTTCATACTAAAATTAAAAAATCACACATCTTGGTCGATCACACTTGCATTTCTAAGATTTGAAGGGGACAAAACACGTGTCCACGTGTGTATATAGAAGATAATAACTGGGTAATTTCCTAGTAAGATGTAAGGGGTATATTAACAGTTTAAAAATCATCAATTTTTTTTATCAAGAAGTTATACTTATTTGACTCTGTAAAAAATTTATAATTTGTATTGACGATTTATTGATTCCAATAGGAATTATAAAATTGAAAAATAAGAGAGGTCAAAACCTGAGTACAATCGTCCCCATGTAATCTTTTCATGCAAGGCAAACATAAAGAATAGTCCTACAAGTATACATACTGGAATTGTGGTCTTCTTCCCGAGTCGACTGAGCTCATTCCTCTTTTATTGCCGAATCTGTTGCATCATTTACAACAATCTTGTATACCCAAAAAAAAAAAAATTTTTACAACAATCTTAGTATCTCTCTCTCTCTCTCCCCTTCCCTCCCCAGCCGTATAGATCCAGAGGGGATGCATCGATTTAGATCCGCTTAAGAAGCTCCTCTAGCCCTTCCGGTTATATTCTTTTCCTGAAGATTCCACCAACCACACCAGAAAGTCGAAGCTCACCACCAGAGCTCCCATGGAGTGCGGCAAGAGGCCGCTCTTGCAGGTGAACCTTAATTATTCCCAGCAAGAATCTCCCAGTACTGATCATGAAACTGAACCCTCTGATCATCGTGACGACCTTAGAGTCCACATCGACGAAATGGATTTCTTCTCCAGCAAGGACGACAAGCTCGCCTCCTCCCCGTCCTCCTCCGCCCTTCCCAGACTTGATTTCCTATCCGCTCCGCCGCTCTTTCCCTTTAATGTCGACGTAAGTAAGCATTTGGTATATATTTTTCATCACTACATTCTCCATATCACTCTGGGTAATATGCTTATGAATTTCTTCTACTTATTTATAGACTGGTTTAAATCTCTTTACTGCCGATATTGGTAGTAATCATCCTGCAGTAGAAGCTGGTTTATCAGTCTCGGTACATAAAACGCCTCAAGAGGAGGTGAGAAAAATTAAGTTTAGCAATACAAATTGGATTAAATTATTTATTTTGTTAATGGATATATGTGTGTGTGTGTTTTGGTTCAGTATGATGCTCTTAGAACACAGTTTAAGCAAATGAAGGATGAAAACGATCGCTTGAGAGAAATGCTTAACGAAGCGACTAACAATTACAGCGGCCTGCATACGCGATATATCAATATGGTGCAGAAGCAGACCAACTATGGTGAAGATATATTTGACGAGAAAGGAGCAAGAACGAAACAAATGGAAGGAGCATTAATACCTAGACCTTTTATGGATCTTGGACTTGCCTCTAATGTTAATGTTGATAAATGTTTTATGTCTCCCTCCATGGGAAGAGGTGGGTCACCCCCACCGCCACAACAGGCGGCGGCTTCCAAAGATTTTGACTCTAGAAAGAATCAAGCCAGTACTGATTCTAAACTTGTGCTTGAACAAGAAAAGAAAGAACTCGGTGAGGATATTAGAAGAGACGATAGCCCACCAGCTCATGCTTTCTCCACCAATAAGATCCAAAAAATCAGTCCTTCCGAAAGTGTTGATCAAGCAGAGACTACTATCAGAAAGGCCAGAGTTTCTGTTCGAACCCGATCAGAGGCCGCCATGGTAGCTAGATTACCCTGAATTTACCTCCCTCTTTTGAAACATAATAATTTATTAGTTAATTAAACCAATATTATTATTAATTAATATCATTTAGATTACGGATGGATGTCAATGGCGAAAATATGGACAAAAGATGGCTAAAGGAAATCCGTGTCCTCGTGCTTATTATCGATGCACCATGGCGGCTGGTTGTCCAGTGAGAAAACAAGTATTTCTTTCCTACTATGCCCTTGCTTCTTGTAACATTTATAGGTTAAGAATGTTATAGCCAACTTTGGCTCTAATATATTGGATTTCTAATATGTTAAACAAACAGGTACAAAGGTGTGCTGAGGACAGAACCATCTTAATCACGACCTACGAAGGGAACCATAATCATCTTTTGCCTCCAGCAGCAATGGGAATGGTACGGGCAACCTCGGCAGCTGCAAGAATGTTGCTGTCAGGATCATCATCAAGTGCAGATGGCTTAATGAATCCAAATTTTCTCACACGGACTTTGCTTCCTTACTCCGCTGGCATGGCTACTATCTCAGCCTCAGCTCCGTTTCCCACTGTTACATTGGACCTAACCCAGAATCCTACCCCCTTCCACTTCCCGAGACCTCCCGGCCAATTTCAAATTCCATTCGCACCTCACAACTTGGCCAATTCTCCTACTTCATTACTTCCTCATCAGCTATTTGCTCCGGCACTTTATAATCAGTCCCAGTTTTCGGGGCTTCAGATGTCTCGAGATGTTAACGCTTCCCACTCCTCTCAGGCGCCGCCGCAACTGGCTGACTCGGTGAGTGCCGCCACCGCTGCCATTGCGGCTGACCCCAACTTCACGGCGGCGCTGGCCTCAGCAATCACTTCCATTCTCGGTGGTGCTCAACAAAGCAATGGTGGTAGTCTTACGGCTAATAATAGCAATGGCAATAATACGACTGGTAACAATAATAGTCCCAACTGAAGCAACAGAATTAGCAACTCGAGTTCATCCGGGAACATAGGTTCTCTCTTGACTGTACTAGGCTCAGAAAGCTAAGCTAAGAGTATTTTTTTATTTATCCCCGCTCCCCAGTTTTGTAGGAACTAGAGAAGTAGAGATTCATCTTGATTGGCATTCTTCCTTGCGGTGGAATTTTTTTTTTTTTTGGGTGAAAGAAGGGGCCTAAGCCCAAGACTAATAAAATAAAACTAACAAAAGGCGAAAGCTACGTGGACCCAGTAGCTTCTTCTCTGAGAATTCTCTCCAGCGTACTTGGGGGGGAAGACCATCGGATCCACTGTTCATCTTGTTCGAGACTAAGCGTTGCCAATCGGTCCGCACAACTGTTCCCTTCTCTATAGACATGTTCGATTTTCACCTGCCAATTTGGATCATACTCGGTCCATCAAATATGCGTATATTTCCGTTGCAAGGTTTTATATAATTTACAGCCTCTACTACCGAGGGGCATCACATTCCACTTCTACTTTCTTAAATCCCAGTCTTCCACATTCTGCAGTCCTACCAATAAACTTTTAGCTTCAGCGTTGGTGATGCTTGTTTGTCTGATTTCATCGTGAATCCCCCCAGCCATTCTCCAGAATCCCTCTTATACTCCACCACATACGTTCATGCCCTGCTCTGGTCCAGTTGCATCTGTGTTTAACTTACACACCCCTTCCAGGTTACTTCCATTTGATATTCCTATCTTTCTCTTTCAGGACTCTCTATCAGTTGCCTCCCCCCACTTGTGAGATAGTTTTGCAGTAAATTGTGTTGTATAACCCTTTCTTGGTCAGGGGAGCTCAAAAAACTCCTCGTCGTGTAGCAGTAGATTCCTCCAGTTCCATATTTGCCATACGCTCATTACAAATAAACTCGTTCCAGTTGTAATTCTGAGACCTGTCTCCTTTCCAGGATATTCCCTGTTACCCAGTCTCTCCAACCTTGTTGAAGAACTTCGTCTTGCCTGCCACGGTATTAAGTTCCTCAGATTGAAGCGGCGTAGCTGCAGTCTCTGAGGGCATGCTGGTGGTCCTCCTTTGCCTGGTTACATATCTCACACCATCCTTGGCTACCGTCCCATATTTGTGAGGCCTTTCGTGGGGAGCTTTTGTGAAGGACTCTCCAGATGAAGACTCGGGCCCTCTCAGGTACTCTCAACTTCCATATCATCTTCCAATGTCTTCCATAAGCCGAGTGTTGATTACCTTGGAGATTGATACGCCAC